TAATGAAGAATTAAATAAAATCTTGTAAAGGATTTTTTTTAATTATTTCAAAATGATAATTGCTTCAAACTATGTCTTAGAAACAGTTATAGAATTTTTTTTTAAATTGTTTTTTTATATTTTTCATTCATTTTTATATATTATTATCATATTGTTCTCATATTTTTTTTTTTTTTATTTTTTTGCAGAACAGTTTGCATCCTCCATACATTCTTTAGACAAGAAGCAAAAGTCTGAGGCTCTCACAGCCCTGGGTTACTATCACACCGAATTCCGACTTCTTCCAACTGATGATGAGCCCACACAAATAGACATTGTTCCATACCCCTACTTTGCCCGTGTTTTTGCTGACAAATATGAGACGAAAACTGTTAAATACTACCATGATGGTCACTTTTACTGGGTGATTTGGAATCAGTCGTAAGTTTCTTTGTTAATCTATCATAATCAACACTAGTTAAGGTGAAATTTTTATGCTGTCTATCAGCATAGAACAGTTTCTGAACTGAAAAGTTTGATAGAACTGATATTTTTGAAAAGCCTGTTGCTATCTACTAAGCTTAGGTTCACATTCACAAGTATAGTACTCAGTGAGAATGAAAGTACACAATAGTAATGATGAACCAAACTGAACCAGTTTGTTAAGACCACAATCATGAAGCACTCAGTAAGGATCAAACTCACCACTCAGTTGGACTTAATTTGTAGAATTAATTTGCTAACTATTACACTATGATGAGATGTCCAAAGCTGGAGATCTGTGTTAACATTTGACAAATCAGATTTGTAAACAGACTTATTACATTAGTATATCAAAAATTAAAAAAATATCTAGTAATATTTCACAAGCTATATACCTTCAAAAATTATTTGATCAAGTGTGAGTTTTGGTCTTTTTTCATTAATTTTAATTGAATTTTAATTTAAATTAAAATACTTATTACACACTTTTTATGAAGTGAAACTTTCTCTTGTTCTAGTTGTATCAGCTTTTTTCCATTTTCTTCATTTATAAATAGTGATAAAAAATTTAAAAAAAATAAATTAAATGTGAGATGGTAATATGACAGAAAAAATATATTAATTTATAAATGCTGTTTCATTTTTCTGACATAAAAATGATAAAATGTTATTTGATATTTAATTTTGTTTTTTTATTTTTTAAATATAACAAATTTGTGTAATTATAATTATTTCTAGTTTGAATGATTATTTATACTTGAAGTTAAAGTTTTAAAATTATTTTTATTTGAACTCATGACTAGGACTATTTTATAAACCAACCAGATTGATTTAATATTTTTGTAGAAACATATTATATACATTTTTGTATCAATTTATTTGACATTTATATAGATTTATTTTTTATTATATAAGATATAAAGAAACCAATGCCTTAACTCCATTATTGTGAATAACTAAAGAAGTAGAGCCCGGCATTGCCGGGGATGTAACAGTAAGAGATAGATCAAAATCGACCATCATAAAGACTGAAAATAAAAATTGACAAAGATTATTGTTTAAGGTTGACGGACACGCATGTCTTAATTAGTTTTTTTTTTTTTTTTTTATGAATTGGTCAAACCCAAACTCAAACAAAAAAAACATTGTTTACAATCGTTATGAGTCTATCGATTGGTGAATAGAATTTTATTATAAACAATTGTCTTGTAAATGGAATTTTTAAAGCATTCTGAATGTAAATAAAAAAAAAAAAGTGTGCAAGACAATAAGAAATACTACCTGCCAAAAAAAAAAAGTGGATGTTTGTTTTATCGGCTGAAAATGTGTAAGAAATCCGATCCCATATATAAAGGAACACACACACACACACACACACACACACACACACACACACACACACAAAACAACCTGGGTTTTTTAACCTAAGTCACTCCACGGAATCGCTAAAACATAGAGCATAGTCTGATGAAAAAGACGCTAAAGTTTATGAAAACAAAATTTTATCGTCAAAATGCTTATGTTTTTATGAAGAGGATAGACTAAATTTTTTTTTAATTATTTTTTAAAATTTTTCCATCTTTTTAGAATATTCTAAATTTTGATTTAAAAAACCTTGTTTCTCTTTGTCGCAACAAGGGGTAGTAAATAACATAGATAATTTTTAGCGCGTTTTTTTGTATTTACACTTGCAAAAATAAAAATAATTGTCAGATGTTAATGAAACTTTCAGAAACTATTCACAGATGATCGAAATTATTATAAATATGTTTTTTTTATTAAAAAATCATGGCAGAAATATTTTTTTCATATTTATTAACACCCCCATAACTAATTTTATGAAAAACTCTAGAAATTCGAGACCATCGGTTTTAGTGATTACAATAGTTAAAAGCACAAGGCTTTGAAGAATGCAAATCATGTTTTTTTTTTTTTTTTTTTTTTTTTGGCCAACGTACCTGAAAATCAGCTGTGAATTGTAACATACAAAACTCAATAAAACAAATATATTATTTAGTTTCAAATGCTTTTATTTGTTTTAATTTGTTTTTATGAATATGGACAATATTTTCTGAAAGCAAAAATTTTTTTCATGAAAATTGAATTTTTAATACAATTATTTCTTATTTCTTTAATTTTAAAAAGATTTTTTAAAAATGTTTAAATTGAATTTTAAAAATATTTTAACATTAGTTAAAAAAACAACATCAACCTTTCAAAATGTCCGTGTGAGATTGTCATTGTCTAGCGCTTTGAAAATTGTATAATTTGGACCAATCAGATTAGCCATGGTAATTAAGAAATGTAATTTTGTGTTTATAGTCGGACAGTAATTATCAAGTACGGAAGACCAACCAGAATACAATTTAGTTGCATTATTTGAGTTCAGCATTGTTCTCCGCTGTTAAGCCCTTTACTTTTGCGAAACACGTATGGAGAAGTTAATTTGAGTTTTCAATTTCAACTGAGAAGGGTACCTACAAGTAACAGTATCATCTTATGAAATTTAACTACTGCTAAACTTTAATTTATATGATCTTATTTTTTATATTAATCTCAGTTATGACATTTTTCCATAAATGAAATATCAAAATTAATAATAAAATGAATGCAAATACAAATAACACAGTAAAATGTAATAAATGTACATAAAATTATAGTATTTTATGTACACTTCTGATAAAATTTCATAACAAAAGGTACCTAAATTAATTAGATACCTTTTTCTTATGAAATTTAATCTCACTATTAACAGTCTTATTTTTTAATTTCTTTATATTTTCCATAAAGCATCGTAAACGTAAAAATGAAAGCTAAGTACAAAAAAAAAAAAAAAAAAAAAAAAAATAAAAAATTAGAGCGCTGAAAGTTTTCCTTAAAAGTAACAAGGTAAATAATTTGTTCACTTAAATAATTTCACTTCCTTCCATCCGTAGAAAGAATTACCCTCCCGTAAGTTATCTAAACGTCATGAATGTGCCTTTCGTCAATCGTCAAGCGACGCGAAAGGTTATGACCTGCTTTGTTTTATTTTCAAATTACATTTTTTCGGCGCAGAAGCTAAGTTAAGCTTGGTTCAAAATATTTTAAATAAACAGTATAATATCTGTTTTTATTAAAATCAGTTTTGAAAAAATGATAATTGATTTTTAAAAGAATATCAAAGTAAGATTTTAATCTTTTTTATCAAATCGAAAAAATGATTGAAAATGATTATCTGTCCTTTTTTTTGACCAAAAAAAAAAAAAAATATTTTTAACGAAAATTTCAGACGTGCTAGGAACGATTAAAAAATGTAAAAAAATACCCCAAAAATACTTTGATCTTTCCTCTTTAATAATAATATGAACATTAGACGATAAAATTTTGTTTTCGTCAAGTTCGGCGTCTTTTTCATCATGCTATGCTCTTTTGTTTACATTTTCGTGGGTGAGTTGTCCCCCTTTCATTCTCACGATGTGTCTTAATCGTGTTTTCAAATTGATTTTCTTAAAAAACAACTGTGTTTTTCCCATTTTCGGCGCCGTTAGAACCACCACAAGGTAATTTTATGTAGTCCTGTGAAGTTTTGTTGAAATCGGCTAAAAAATGTAGGAAATTCGATCCAACATATAAACGTTACAGACACACACATCTCAAAATGACTTTTTCACCTCAACAATATATATTCTTGTTTATTCTCTAATAATGACAATATGTACATTCCTTGATCAGATATTTCTAATCCTTGTAACTATTATGATTAAAATAAGAAAGTGTTTGAAGCATTTTCTAGGAAACTGGGATTTTGAATGCATCAATATCATAATACAAAACTGTTGAAATTTAACAAAAGTAACACCCAACCATTTAATATTATAAGCCTTTAATGCTGAAAATGGTTGGACAGCCAAATCTCTTGGTCCCTCAGTCATTGTCATTTTTGTATTTCCTACTCATCAAATTCCATGCAGAAAGAAGAAAAAAAAGATTATAAAAATAAGAGATGTTTTTATAAAACAATATTTTTAATGAACCATAGTTGAAAATTCATCACAACCTGATGTCAAACATGTTCATTGTGTTCTGATAAAAATATCTAAGTTTTCTTAAAATTTTATTATTTGTGTAATGAGCAAACTTTAATAATCTTAACATTCCAACCAAGTCAAACTACACAATAATAATGATTGACCAAATTGAACAATATAATATTGATTTTCTATTGACGTTTAAAAAATACTGCATTAAATTTATAAGCATACAACAATTAAAACTAGAGCTCATCAATTTTTAAATTATTTTCATTTATAAGCTTAGTACATGAAACTTTTATTGATATGCATTAGGTGATGTTAATTCTATTTTCAATAGTATAAATTGTAATAAATTTTAGTTCACCATGATAAAGAAAATTAGATTAGCTATTTGATAAATAATTTATAATTTGAGACATTAAATTATTTTTATGTGTTAAAACTATTAAAGAGACAAAAATTAAAATAACTAAAACATTATCTACTCCATTTCACTGAAGGATTTCTTAAACTTAGAGACTCATACAATTCAATGTATTTGATATCCAGACATGGTTGGTAGATTCCATTTATGAATTTTATGTTAATATCTGAACCATTTTTTTAAATCTCTTCATTAAACAGAGCACAAGAAAGAAAACTTTAAATAAAAAAGATTTATTCTTAAAAGTATGAAACTATTTCCTGCTTATACTTAATGACAACGATTTATATTTTCAAAACAAAGCCTTTGAGTTACTCTCAAGCTTTAATTGTTTTATTTATTTTTCTAGCTGACACTGATGATGGAGAAAGCCGAAAACAAGTGAATTTTCAAAAAGAATGGTTAAAACAAGAGGAGAAGATTACATTAACATCAGAAAGTAACACTCCCATTGGTAAAATTCTCTACTTTATCTTAGTGTAGTGATTAACATGTTGGTCAAGTAAATCACTGACAATGCCATACAGAATAAGAATGAATATAGCCATGTGCTGAATTAAGAGTTAAATATTTCTACCACTGGAGAAATGGCATAATTTTTGTTATAAAGAAAAACTAAATATTGATGCTATTCTGTTTTTAAACGTTTGTAGATGACAAGATTTATTCCATAATAAATCCCACTGAAGCTGAAGGAAATTTTCTCATTTTGATTCAGGTATGCTCTATCTTTGTAGCAAATATACCTTTTTCAGTTTTATATATATATAATCATTCTGTCAAAGTATTCTGAATGTAAATCTATTTATTATTTAATGAGAAATCTAAATGCTCTCAACATCTGCTTTGTGTTCTGTTTGGGTTTCTTCACAAATTCTTGACATAGTACAAATTAGTTAAGGTGAGTTTTGTGAGCACTTTCCTTTGAGTGCAAGACATGAACTGATCCTCACTGAATGCTCAATGAATCTGGATTAGAACAAAATTTGTAGTGTTTTTAAGTGAATTTCAAAGACAATGTTTAGATATTTGTACATTGATATATTCAACCAGATATGTGCCATCTTGTTTCATTCCCTTTTGCCATTTTTTGAAGCAGCTTCATTTTAGAACTTGGCATATTTCTGGGTGATGAGCTGGTGAAAGAGGTTTCTATAGGCAACTGGAGAGTTCTCCCTATTATGAGAATTTTGTAGGTACCAAAATAAGTGGTAATCTAAAGGTGCAAGGTGAGGTGAGCACAGCAGTTGTAGTAGGATGTACCAGCCAAGCTGTACCAATTTTTACTGGATTTAAAAGGAGATATGAAGTCCTGATGGAAGGTGACACCTTTCCAATTGGCCAATTCTGGCTACTTTTCATTCATTGTGCCTTTAATTGATTGTGTCTAATTTTGAACAGGGCTTGTCTGAATTCAATGTCTGATTTTGTGGAAGGAGCTCATAATACACAATGCACTTCCTATCATGCCAAACGTACTTCATGATCTTCTTTGAATGTAGATGCAGACCAGATTTTCATTTTTCCCAAGAGTTTGCTCCCTCCACATTGTTGTAAACAATCCATTTTTCATCACCTATGATTGTTCTTTTCAGAAGGGTTGTTTTTATTTCATTTGAGTAGAGAATCACTTATGGAAATGCAATCCATTAAATTTTGAAGCATGCAGCATCATTCACAAGTTGTCAACACTGCTGGCAAGCTCTTAACGTCACCACTAGCGACCTCGGTCAACCAACCTGACACACACATCAGGTTTAAACCCTAGCAACTCTACCCTTCCTCTGAGTCAAATCCCTTGCACATTCCACTCATATCTTCTCTATTAGTAATACAATGAATTTTATATTAACTATTATTGTCTTCTTTTTCTTTCACCTGACTGGTAGTACTGTTTCATTTGTTTTCTTATGTTACCCTACACATGTTTATAACATCAATGACCACAAGCCTACCAGAAAGTTCTCAATCTTAAAGATCAAAATTTTCATTTCTGAACCTAGAGAACCACTTACAAACAATACTCTCAGCTATAAAAAAGCACTTTCCTATTTATTTTTTTTTCTTTATTTTTTGCGCTGTGTACAGCATTTTTTTTCATGCTGGAAATAAAAGTGCATCAAATGAAAAAAATTCATCTAATTTCCTTCATTTTCACTTTTAACATAAAGACATTTAAAATTTATAATCCACACATGAATCTTATAAAATAATGCATTTTCAGAATATGCATATACGCCATAAATTTCAGACACATGTGAAATGAGATCACATGTTCAAATACCAGCAATTGAAAAATTCTACAAATGTGTATCCAAATCAATTATTTATAAGTTTGTTCCTCACTAGGTGAATTGTATAATAGTTTGATTGTGCTAATAATCAAAAATGATTAGGCTATTGATAGATTTTTGTATATATCTATTTTTATGAATAATCAAGAGTAATCTCCCCTTGTTTTGCTACTTTCCGATTTGAAAGAATTATTTCTGTTTACTGGGACTATAAAAGGACACTATACACGAGCCTTGTATTCTCAGCTGAATAAAGCTTTCTTAAAGCCAACACCTGTGTATTTTTGTCATTACAATTTATTCAACTAAGAGTTTCTCCATTACGGAACAATGCACCCACAGCGGTTTGACATAGAACCTGATACTACAGACTCTGAAAAGTGCTGGACGCATTGGCAAGTGATGTTCAAAAACTTCTTATGAGCAGTACATGAAGAAACTCCACATCAGCCATTGAACAAGCTTGGAGTCTTAACTAATTATATATCACAGTACATGAAATAATCCTAGACTGTCCCAATTATGAGGAGACTATGGACTCTATAAGATACTTACCGGAAACCATAGAATGAAATCTTCTCATGACATAAACTGGCTACCCAATGCCAACTAAATGGTGAATCGCTGGAACAGTACTTACAAGAATTAAGAACCCTAAGCAAAGACTGTAACTTCAAGCCAATGAATGCTGAGGAAATTCAAGATGAACATATTCTGGGCGCTTTTATCAATGGTCTACAGAATGTCCAGGTAAGGCAAAGACTCCTCGAAAATACCAATCTAAATTTAAAAACAGCTTACAAGCAGGCCTGTACATTTGAGGTAGCCCAAAAACAGACTGTGTTCTACTGACTGATACTGTCAGTGCTACTCGAAATGTTCACTATTCTCATTTACCCTCCTCTTCTTACGTACATGATTCGCCGATTCCCCCCTCTGTGATTTCTTTTTCTAATCAGAAAATTCCAGATACTCTAAACCCTTCAAGACTACCTACCACTGCTGCTGTCACAGGTTGTAAATGCTACTTTTGTAGACTCGGTCAACACCTTTGGTCCTTTTGTCCAGATAGAGATGCTAGGTGTCACAAATGTGGGAAGTCTGGACATTTGTTAAAAGTTTCTTGGCCCACCCCCACTAAAAATAAGACTTCTCCTACCTCTTTTATTGTAGCCACCATAACAGCTGCTTCTGACTGCCTTTCAAAAAGCATAATGCAGATCACAAAAATAAATCAGATAATTTGATATGACAACAAATCTGACTTTTTACATTCAAATTGTTTTTCTTTGAAGAACTCTTTTCTTTTTAATGATTATGAATTTCATATGAAAATATTTTTCATATTTTTTCATATTTCAGATGGTCAAACCTCTTCAAAATTGAAAGATGAAAGTTCATTGAACATTCTATCAAATGAAAGGTTGTATTTTATAATTGTGTCTATGTTTGAATTGAGTGCATATGCTTGATTTCCATTAATTCTAGTCTTACAAGAATTTCCAAAGATATTCACTATAAAAAGTTGCTGTCAGAAACACAGATTTTAACTAACAGTGGAACCAGGCATATTAGCAATAACAATGAGACAGGAAAAGCAATAAGAGAAGACTGCTGATTGACTTGAGACTGAAAAGAAACTGGCTTAAAAAGCAATAATTATCAAAGATTAGTTGAAAATCATTTGGATTTATGAATAGTTAATGTATGTAAATTGGGTTTTAAATCTTAGAATAGAATTTTTAACAGAAACATTTATGTTAAACTAGTTTCATCACTGAAAATAGTCAATTAGTAAAAATGTTATAATATATAATAATATATCAAAATATAAATATTTCAGTGCATTGTGTACATATTCAGAATAAATTTAGAAAACTTAGTTAAAATATTTCAAAAGTCCAACATAGCAGTTTGATGTCAATAAAATGAATGTCAAGTATTTGATTGGATGATGTTTACTAATAAAAAGGCCACAAATTAAATCAAGTGTTATGTTTCAGCGAAGTGCAACTTGACAGTAGCAAGCGAAAATTTTCTACTATTTCATTGATAAAAACAGATGTGCAGCTCAGTCATAATAAAAAAAGTGAGTTGTAATTTATTTGTTTATTAATATGACAAGTAAAACTGAAAATACCTACCTCCTGTATTTTTATGTAATCTTACATTTAATTGTTAATTCCTTTTGGACAATATTCCCATTTATTTATTTTAGAGATTCTTGATTTGCAAAAAAATTTGTTTTTCTTTTTGATTTTAATAGCTTCAGTTCAAAAAGAAATTCCAATTGCAAAAGTTTCACTCAAGTTACGATACTTCTTTTCAGGTATGTGTCTATCTTGCAAAGAATTACTTCATATTTTATTGATAACCATTTTGCATCATATTTATATTCCTCTACATATGTTATTTAGTAGATAGATAGATAGATAGATAGATTATTTAGTCTGAAGAAGTCCTTTTGAAGGCATAACAGGATCATTTTGCCTTTTGTCATCCAGTTTTAAGTTATACCATAATACCTATTCTATTGTAATAGACTCTCCCACAGATAATAAGTAGTAGTAGCAGTGGCCAGTTGGGCTCAATGGTGTTGAGCGAGTCAGTCGATGTTGGACATTGAAGAATCAACCATCACAACTAGATTGCTGCATCATTAACTCTTATTTCAAGTTCCTAATGTTTTGTACGTCGAACCTAATTTAGGACGACTTAGTGAAATACAAGCCTCCACTGTGAAAACTACTCTACAACACAGTTTAAAAATCAAATTAGCAGCATACAATAGTTAGGAAGCTATCCTAATGAGATGTTAAGCAAAATTTTTCTAGTTCTGTTTACCTTAATATTAATGTCTGCTATGTATTTGTAATTATTTTGTTAGTGATATCAGTTCATCCAAAACATTTGCCTAAATTAAAATGAAAACTCAACTGTTTAAGCCTGATGATTTGATTTTATTCAGACATACATACTATCACCAGAAGATTGGAGAAGCCAGCAGAATTCCTGGTGGACTTGTTGGCCAGTGTGACTCTTAATAAGAGTCTACTGTCTGAACAACAGAAAAGAACTCTCAACCCAATGATTATCACTGTCCACTGTGTTAAAGACATGCCAGATTGCAGTGAAGAGAACAATTTTGATTACTCACAACTTAGAGCCAAGTAGGTTTTCTCTAATATGCTATTAGATAGATTTGTTCTTTTTTTTCAAATATTTTTCCCAGTTATCATTTAAATAAAAATGGAAGAATAAAAGGCAAGAAGAATATCAAATTTAGAAATTCACATTTAATTTCATAAATATTCAAAAGATTGTTTGATTTGAAGAATACTTTTTAAAACATGAAAGAAACAAGATTTTTGAGATTTAAAACAAAAATGAAAAAGGAAATTGGAGAAAAATTCTAATGAAGTTAAGTAAAAAGTTCTCAATAAAGGCTTGTGAATAAGAAAATATGTTTTATTTTTTTTTATAAGCAATATACATTAATCTGCATATGTGCCTGTATGTGTGCGTGTGTGTGTGTGTGCGTGTGTGTGTGTATGCGCATATGCATGTTGGCGAATAACTAAACTAAGAAATTATTTGACAAATTTAAAGTGACCTTGCTGTTTCTTCACTCAGCAGAATTCGTTTCAGAAAGAAAAGCTGTTAAATTCTTAGGAAATAAAAATGAGAGCTTTAACTTAAAATCATTTGCTTAACTCACAAGATGAAAAACTCTTCTTTTCAAATACTGCCCCCACACACATACAATTAATTTAAAGAAACCTGAAATATACAAAGAGATACCATTATTTTATTCTAATCTGACATTTTATCATCATAAATGTGGCTCATGTCAATTTAAGTTTGAACTGTTTACATATATCAAATATAGTGAATTTTTGTTTATGATGATGTCTTCATCTATTTGCCATATCTCTTCTGGACATGGGAGATCATACTGTCACACCATGTCTTTTTGCTATCAATCCTAATCCCTGTTTTACCAACTATTTATACAAGTTTGTTAGGTGCTTATGCACAGATTTCCTATGTCTCTCTTACCTTCGACATGTCCTGTGAGTGTCAAATTTTTTAAGTCCTCTTTCCTCATTGTCTGCCCAAGAAATTTCATCTGCCACTTTCTGATGCTACATATAAGCGTTCTTTGTGCTTCCATTTACTCTAAAACTTCATTGTTGATCACATGTTCTGTCCCTGCATCGTTCTGTAGAACCACATTTCTGTTGCCTCAACACTTTTCTTCATCTGTGAGGAGATTGTCCAGCTTTAACTGCCATATAGGAAAATTGATATTACATAACAGTTCAGTACTCTTTTCTTTGCTTTTTATAAAATTTTCCTCTTTCTTAATACTTTGCTTAGCTTTTGGAAGGTGTCTTTTGCTATCTCAATGTACCTTCGGATTCCAATGTTGCACTTTTCCATCCTCTAGTAAACCACTTCCTAGATATTTAAATTTTTGTATTTGCATCATTTTGGTTTTACCAATTTGTAATTTGTATTTTGGGTTATTTCTTTAGCTGACAATCATACATTCTTTCTTCATATAATTGATGTTTAGTCCTTTCTTCTCGCATTCCTTTATTCCCATCTGTAGAACATCCTGTAGCTTCCTTTCTATGCCTCTGCTATCAACACTGTCAGCTGTATATTTTATATTGTTAAGATTGTGGCTGCCAATAATGAATCCTGCTAGGACTTCTAATTCTCTCAGGATTGTTTTACTGTAAAAGTTGAATAATGATGAGAAGACACATCCTTGTCTTATTTTCTATTTTAATATTTACTTGATTTTCTTTCTGTTTGCAGGTGGTTTGATCCCAGTATAATTTATGGATTATTCTAATATCCTTCTGAATTAAATCAAGCTTACCTAGCAGTTCAAACAGTTCTTTGTGTTGTACTCAAACAACTTTGCATAATCTATAAAACATAGGTATATATTTTTTGCATCTTTATTGCTCTTTCTGATATCATTTTTAGCATAAATATTGCCTTTCTTGTTCCAGTGTTTTTAACAAAACTGCTTTGTTCTTTGTCCGATTTCTGATCTAATTCTACTGCACAATCTATTCATCAGAAGTGGGATGATAAGTTTTGTTTTGTTTTGCTCCTTAGGCTGACTGTCAAATAGAGTTCACATTCATTAGTACCTGGCTCCTTAGGCACCACTATAAAATAGATGTGCTGAGGTCTTTCAGTTCTATATTTCATTTATTATGTCTTTAATTTTGTTAATACCTAAATCATCTAAAGCTACCAGCATTTCTATTACAATTCCTTCTGATTTTGTTCTCTTTCATTGTGGAAGAGTTCTCCGATGTATTCATTCCATCTTTGAAGTATTTTTCTTTCTCTAATATCAGTGTCCCATCCTTGAATTTTATGCATCCTGTTGATGAGCATGTCTTTTATCCTGATAGTTCTCTTATGTTTTTATGCAATATTCGTTCTTTCTATTTCAGTTCACTTTTCATTGAGTTATTTCTATTTTGTCTACCTGCATTTGTTCCTAATTTCTTTTTTGCAGAGTCCTATATGCCATACTTTCCTGTCTCCTTTTCATTGTGTTGAGAATTTCATCTGTTATCCATTCTCTTTGTGTTTGTCTAGTTTTCTTTGGGATGATCTCAATTGCTGATGTTACTAAAGCTTCTCTTAATGTGTCCCACTTTGAATTTCTATTCTCATTTAATTCCTTGTATTTGATTTGTCTGTATACTGTATAAATTTGGATAATTCAAGAATCCATCATATTGTAATTTGGGTGCTGTCTTGGCACTCTTCAATTTCCATAATTTCACTGGAAGATGGTTGCTCCCACATTTGGCACTTGGAAATGTTTTGCAGTGTAAAATTGCATTCCTGAATCTCTTATTGATTGTTATGTTGTCAAATTGGTTGTTTCTCCTCCTGGACTTCTCAATGTTTATATACATCTAGGGTGTTCTTTAAACCAGGTGTTGGCTACTACCTGATCATTCACCATTCTTGAACCCATTTTTCTCCATGTTAATTATGAGTTTCTGGTCCAAATTTTCCAACTATTTCATCATTTTTCTCCTTCTCTACTTTGGCATTCAGATCTCCCATGATGATTGTAATATCCTCTAATTTGCATTGAACCTTGGTGTTATCTAGTGTAGAGTAAAACTTTTCAATTTCTTCTTCCATACTATGTGCTGTTGGTGCATATATAACTATGATTGGTATGTTAAAATGATTCCCTTTCAGTTTAACAGCAAGAATTTTATAAGATAGTTGTTAATATCCCAGAATATATTACTCCATGTCTTGGTCTAATATCAGTCTCTCCACCTTTTTCTCTCCACCTGCATATATGACCCTGTGTTTGTCATTAATGAAATTTCCATTATTTTCTCACCTTCTTTCACATATACGTAAAATATTGACATCTAATCTTTATCCATTTCCTGTTTTATATTCTCTAGCAAGCCACATTGATTTAGTGTTGTGGCATTCCGTAAAATATTTTTTGTTTAATGTGAACAGTAGCTGGACGATGGTCTGGTGATACCTATTGTTCATGTTTTCCCATACCAGGCAAGTGATCAAATTGAAGGAGACCAATCCCCTTTTACGCCATTGCTCATTATAGTTTTAACAGTCTTGCACATGCCCAGCCTTACTAGACAAGGAGTTAATTCCAATATACAACCCCATTCACACCATTATCTTTGTATTACTGAGAGTAACTTTCTAGGTGCATGAGGAATATGTATACATATACACATACATAGAACTTGACTTGATTTTGCATAATACTGTCACTTGATTGATTCTCAAATAATGGCAGCACTGAGTCCTTTTTACATTGTTTGGTTGGGTGTCTCTTGCAGTTAGTGTTGTTTTGGTGAATTTGCATATGACCAAAACACATTTATTTCCACACTTGCTGCAAGTAGAAATGTCATATAGTATGTAGTTTCTTTAATGATTTTTGAATCCTGCTCATCTTAGACATACATGACCACATTTATTGATGTAATATGTAATATATTAGATCAGACTCTGTGCCAATATGCTCAGGGAGATTAACATCAAGACCCTTGTGAACATCTTTCTTGAGTTTTTCATGCTTGACACATTTCTTTTCAAATTCTCTTTTATCATCATACATTCTGGTTTATGCATTAATATTTCTCCCTTAAATAACTCACGATACAGAACCTTCTTAAGGCTACAATTGACCACATGACCATTCATTATAATCAATACTAAGAAATAACAGAGACTATATTAGTAGACTTACTGTGTTCAAAGATATCAATATCACTCATGTACATTTACCACTATATATGGCAAAGACACCATTGATGAAAGAAGTCCAACCTTTTCAGATGTCTCTAGTAAGTCACCTATGTCTTACATGCATGCAACAATGAAGACACAACACAAATATAGTAAACTTTAATTGAAATTCCATGCTGAAACCATAGACATCCATTCTGTTTTCCAAATGCATTACTAACCTCTTCATTCAGATGAATCAAGAGTTTCATATTTACAGTGCTGCCAAAATACACAAACTTTTCCATAGCCTGCAATTTCTGGTCATACACAAAAATGTTTGGCTCAGTGGAGACTATATGATGTAGGTTGATACTTTACATTGGTCTTTTTTAAGATAATTACCCTGCATGATGTTGAGAAATAATCCATAAGATGTTGCATATCACTCTGGTAATGAGCAGCAAGATCACAATTCTCAGCATACAGGAAATTGTGTATTAGAAATGAAAATAGATTTGGCAGCAAAATGCTTTATATTCAACATCCTAATCTCTGTTCAATATTTGACATAGACCCAATGTGAGCAACTTTTATCTCATCAAGAAAACCATAGCAAAGTATAATGGGAACATACTTTGTTCTGCTATATCCCTTGCTTAAAAACCGACCTTCAACTTGAGAGATCCTACCTGTATTGAAACATGCTTTCATTATATTTTAATATATTATATATATATATATATATATATATATATATATATATATATATATATATATATAATACCTCAGAATGGTAACTAATCCGTTGGTATATAATCCAAGTGGATCCTAGTAATATAAAATATTAAAACTGATCCACAAAAAGAGCTCAATATATTTATTAATACAGAGCAATATAATTAATAAGCAATAACATCCCAAATTGCCTCACATGGGAAAATAGCCTATTTCAGCTGATGAAGATATCGGTCATCTGTCTTATCAACCCCAGTGTGGAATGAGTTTGTGTCTTTTCAGATAGGGGGTGGAAAAGAAGTAGTATTTAACTGTGAAAGCTAAAAAAAGTCAACCTGTCAAAAAACTAATAGAATTTATCCATTTTAATGTTTCAGTCAATCGGAAGGCACAAGAGAGGGGTCAAGAGAGGGTGGAAGGTATTTGTCTTAAAAGGAAGAATTTTTGTAAAATAAAACCTAAATATTAACCTTATGGCATTAATTTGGGGTTATATGAAGAATGAAATATTAATTTAAAATAGGAGAAAAAAAGGGGTCAAAAAATAATTTAAAAATATATAGATAAAATGATGTTAGGGATGAATGGAAAGAGATTTGGGGAGATATTAAAGTTGGGGAAAGTTTATAAATATAGTGTAATGAGGTTATAGAGGGGTAGATTTAAAATATAGAAATTAGAATTAGTTACACTGTTGACATTTGAACAGTTATCTATATATTTTAAATTTATTTTTAGACTCAGACGACCGATATCTTTGTCTGCCAAAATAGGCTATTCCACATATGAGGTAATTTAGGATTTTATTGTTTATTACATATATATATATATATATAGATAGATAGATAGATAGATAGATATACACACACACCAGAATTGTACCAGAATTGCTGATGACTGCTGTTGATAGACCGTTGTGGAAAAGAGTTAGTGTGGCATTCAGATCTGCCCTACAAGTTCAAAAGTCAAGGGATAATGATGATGATGATATATATATATATATATATATATATATATATATATATATATATATCGATATATATATATACACACACACACACACACACATATATATATATATATATATATATATATATATATAATGGACTCTCTTGTTGATTTTCCAATACGAGGAACCACCAGCCTCATTCAGATTTTATCTTTGTGTTGTATGTGACACTTCAGTTCCACTAGTGACCTGCATACAAGTCCACATATTGTGCAATAGTGAGGATCTTCGGACATAGCAACAGGAATATTTGCTGATACTTTTTGCCATTGTCTTTCATCACTTAGACAGTCAACATGACTGATTTTGAAATTTCTGATACCAATCTGTCAAAAATATTTCCAGTTATTTCTATCCAGGGCAACTTACTCAAAGTTAGTATGAGGCACAATGACAGCTAAGAGGTTACTTTTTAGCCTGTCTTTATACCTGAACCATGGCTGTCCAACAGCCCTTTGTCCACTGTCAAGCTGGCTATACATTACAGAGGACATTAGGCATTCAGAATCTGAATCAAAAATTGCTGTGGTTTTTATTACATATAAGAAAACTCACATCTACAATTGAAGAATACAACATATGAGCAACAAGGGTCTATAATACAACAAACTTTATAAAATATTGTTTACTTTTTTATTTTTCAGATGTCATCCTGTCTACCTGAAATATCAGTTTATGCACAAGGAACCATATCAAAGTCCTGGCAAACCTCATCAAAGACAGATCTATTTTAATGACATCAATGTTATATTGACTGGTAAGTTGCATATTATGTTAGTTGCTTTATTGTTCACTAAATTTTCAAGTTGAGAATTCATCTGATTTTTACAATAATGCATGAATCAAATACCTAAAATTATTTTTTTTCTGATTTACTTATTCATTTTTCAATTTATATCCAATTTCAACTTCATATTTTCTCTGATTTAATTTTCATATTATTTTTAACTGAAAAATTAAATTAACTCCTCATCAATAATATTCAATACATCAATGCAATGTTTATTAAATGGTTGCCTATAATCTTAAAACAGAAGAGATAACAGACATAGTTGCAAATTCATATTTCATAAATAGACTATAAGTCTGGTCAATTTTGTAAAAGCTTTCAGTTAATATGAATCTCAGAAGATCTATTTATTATTTTCTTTAAATTGCAGGCAATATAGACCAAATGGAGTTGCGTGAATTCTTCCTTGGTTCAGGTCTGGTTATTGAGATTCACGATCGAGACAGAAAACCAAGTAAAACTATTCCTCCGCCATTGCTCTTTGGGGATGATCTTAATGATGAGAAATTTAACAATATTGGTGTAATAACAAGTGCGTATTATTAAAGATAATTATGTTTTTGTATGTATACACATACATACATATACGTATATACATTTACATACATATACTTACATACATATATATGATATGATAAATATCAAATAGGAAAATAGTTCTTAATACATATATTTAATACTATAGTAAAAAAAATTATTCCCATATTTGCCATAACATATTTTAGGTTTGTCACACTGCCTTCTACTAATGTGTGCATATAGTTGATACTATTGTGGTCACATGATTGAAATTTGAGCTTGATCACAACAATGTAAACATAGCCATTCCATTAGCAGTGTTCACTAACGAAGAACAAGATAGATAGATAGATAGATAGATAGATCATGTCATGGCAAGATAAAGTTATTAAAACCATATTTATGATTATGCTCTATGTAATTTTACCAGTAATTATGTGTAAATAATGATTTTTCATCAAGTGATCATAGGGATGTTATAAAATAACTATTGCAGATAATCTTATTTTTAGGTAAAAAGACAAAAATAAACCCTTATAAAACACCTCCAGCAAATTCCTTGGATCCTTTTGGAGTTGCTCACTTTGATTTATCTGGTTTCACCCTGGGTCAGAAATTCAGCTACCAGGAACTGCCTATTCACAACAGCCCTACATTAGCTTCTCTGCAGAATGCTGAAAATATGAACTTTGTTAAGAAAGTCAATTCTGATTCAAATAAAGAAAATGGTGAGTCTTACTTTTTACATCACTTTCTTAACTCATTTTTATTTTAAATTTATATATATATATTATATATATATATATATATATATATATATATATATATATATATATATATTTTTTATTACATTTTATGTCTATACATTCTTTTTATAGATACAAATATTTAAGTAAATGCTCTGTTTATAATAAACAGTATTATTTACCAGCCTGAATGTCCCAATTCAAAATTCCCAATAAAGAATTAGAAATGGTTGTGGAAGAGACCTCAAAATTTAGAGCCAGAAACCAGCTCAAATGACCAAACTATGGTGGCCGAAAGTAGCCAAAATTCTTCAAATCAGATCCCCAAGAATGATGACGTGAATGTAGTGGCCGGAGAGACGCCCTCTTACTGGAAGTTCCCACCAAAGTGTAAAATCAACATGACAGAGTTCCTGGAGAAATCCAAGAGCTATGCACATCAGGTGACGGCAGATGGGCTCTTGTCCAATCCTGAGGAATTAAGAAAAGTTGAAAAAAGAATTGTGTCAGTCATTGTGGTGGACAAGTGCTCGCGCAAAATTTGTTGCTCCACAAAAGACACTGAGATTAAAGCCTTGACTTCTCTGGGCATTAAAGCTCAGAGGGTCATTAAAAGGAAAGGCTTTTTTATGTGGGGCATACTGCTACACACGCCTGCTGACTGTGAAGCTGCCACGACTCGTGATCTCATCACTAAAGACCTTATTTTACAGACCGAGTATGAAGGCAGGCTGAGGACAAATGTATCAGTATAAGAGGTTCCTCCTCAGATTGTCAGGGAGCAGTTTGGACTCAGTGCTTCCTCAGACAATCTGACTGGGGGGCAGTTGAATTGATGATTGACAGGAATGCCTTCACCTCCAGCCCCAACTGTCTGGATGTAGATGCAGAAAGACTGGTCACCTGTCCTCTACCTGCACAGAGAAGAAGGCCTCTGAAGTTCTGGCCCCCGACCAACCAAATCCCCCTTTGGTCGAGTCTGCAAAATCCATCTCGCCTGTAGTGGGCATGCCAGTGACCGGGACCAGTGTAGAAAATCTCCTGATTGGGTCCAAATCTCTGCCCCCATTCCCCGAAAAGCCTTTGCCCGCCACTAGCTCAGTTGAGAAGGAGGAGGAGGGGTAATGGCAGGTCGTTGGCAGGGCAAAAGGGAAGACCCAGGCAGCGAAACCTCATTCCACATCCCAAACAGGGAAAGACACAAACAGTCCCACTCACTCTACTAGCGCAAAGGGCGACTCTCCAGCCAGAAACCTTCGACAACAGCAACTGAGATACAAACCTAGTTTTGAAAAAAAAGAAAAACTGCAGAAATTGAATGACTCCCTTCATCAGCAAAAAACCATCTGGCTCTTCTTCTGTTCCTTCATCTCCATCATACAAGCAAAAACTCATCTCCATCCCCATTTAAAATGACTATGCTCCAAAAGTCCCCCAGGCCCCAAAATAATCCTACCCCTACCACTTCACATACCCTAAACCTTCTCCTGTCCAAACACCCATCAGTTCACCACAAAAATCAGAAAAAAGGCAAAGAGGTCCATCCACTGATAGCGTTGACTCTGTGTGCAAAAAGAAAGCACCAAAATACAATACAGGCAAGAAAGTTTGCACCATATCTAAAGAAGAGAAGCTCGCTTCACAGTGTAAAAACTTTAAAGATCTCAAACACTTAATTAAATTCCACAAAATTAAAAACTTACATGTAGAGGACCCCAGCAATTTTCCAAATGCTAAAAGGGTCCTTACTGTAATAAGTACTGGGGCCCCTGGCAAACATGTATGGGCCATGGTAATGGAGGCAAACCATTTTTGACAATGAAAATGTGAAAAAAGTAAACCAATTTTGTTCGGGGAGGCTCCCGCTTTTTGTTCACCCCCTCCCTATATAGAGTTTTAAAGCTAACCTTCCCCCTGGATATTGGCTGCTTGTCTCCTGATGGCTCCATCAGGACTGAGATGGGTACTGGCTCAATGAAAGAGGTTGTCAGTGTCCTGACCCTGGCCATGTTCAATGCAGAAGAGCAACCCTAATCATTTTTCATCATGGCTCTCTGGTTGGCAAGTGTGAATGCCCAAGGCCTGAGGTTGGAGTCTCACAGGGCGAGGCTCTCTCGTGACCTTCAGCGTCTCAGGGTGAATATATGTTGTGTACAGGAGAACATTCTGTCTAGGGGGTTTTCCCTCTATTCAGCTTGTTTTGATGGACGCTCGAGGGGTGTCTCTTGGCTGGTGAGCAAGTCTTTGAAGGCAGTGTGTGTTCTTGTCTTCACGAATCCAGCAGGCAGACTTTGCATGCTGGATGTTACCATAAAGGATAAGGCTCTTCGTCTCATTGAGGTTTATGCGCCCAATGTCCATTCTTAGCAGCCTGCTTTGTTTCGGCAGATTGAGCTGTTTTTGATGACATCATGTCGGGTAGTTTTAGTGGGTGATTGGAATGCTGTCCTTGATCCCAATATAAATCATATAGGGACAAATTCAGGTACTAACAACTGGGACATGAAACCATTTTGGGACTTTATCGACAGGTTTGATCTTGTCGATAAGTACCAGAATGAATACCCTCAAGAGATAGTATGGACTTGGTCTAATAGTGGCGGCTTGGCTAGTTATCTAGACCAAGTTTTAGTTAGGAGAGTCAATGTAGGGCTCTTAGGGTGTCCAAATTTCCATGAGATAGTTTATTTGGATCATAGGCTTGAGTGGGTCTGTGTAAACTTAGATAAGCCTAAGGTTAGGATGGCTGGCTGCTGGAAATTAAACTCATCATTATTTGGTGAGCAAGATTACCGGGACCAGCTGCTACTAATGATACAGAGGGAACTGACAGGAGCGGTTGTGGGAAATGCCTGGTGGGATAATTTAAAATCCAAAATCAGAATGTTTACTGCTGATTATAGTCATTGGCTCAATCTAGATAGATTAGTGGCACAAACAGCCTTAGAGCAGAAAGTTGATTGGGTGGTCAAATCCCGTGATAGTGGGGACGTAGCTTTAGCTAAGGCAGAGTTGGCCTCCTTGCTTATCCAGAAGGATCAAGCCCTGGTAGTTAGGGCTAGGTTAAAAAGAATGTCCTCTGAGGCAAGAATATGGCCACTGAATTGCGATCAGAGGAAGCTCGGAATGCATCACAGCAACATATTGCATGCATCACATTGCCAGATAAGCTAGCCGTGACAATAAACGAGGGCATATGTGAGGCTTTTCGTGACTACTTTCAGGAGCTTTTCACCCTGCTCAGTTCGACACCTATTTAGCTGACTTTCCCTGCCTCGAGGCAGCTGAAGCAGCTAGGTGCGAGAGTCCCATTACAGAGTTGGAAATCTGGGAAGCATTGAAACAGGTTAGCCTGGACAAATCTCCAGGACTAGATGGTCTTCCGTACAAAGTGTACTTGAGGCAGTCGCCCATTTTTGTTCCCCTGCTGGCACTGATTTTCAGCAACTGGATGAAGCAGGGGTCTATACCCCAATGCTTCACCAGGGGCGTGATCAAGTTGTTACGCAAGGACAAAAACGGTGGGGATGGGTTAGGTAACTTTCGCCCTTTAACTATGTTAAACACAGAGTTAAAGATTTTGGCTAAGATCTTGGCTAACCGTTTACAGGTTGTCCTGTCGAGTCTGATTGGCTCAGAACAGACTTGTGCTGTGAAGGGTAGGACTATTCAGGACAACCTTCATATGGTATGCTTTATCATCGAGCAAGTCGACAGTGAAGCCGCGCTGATCAATTTAGATCCGTCCAAAGCCTTCGATAGGGTTGACCATCGGTTCCTGGAGGCTGTTCTTTTGGTGGCCGGTTTGGGGCCATACTTTCACACTTGGATCCGACTTCTGTATGCAACTCCTGGTGCGCTGGTGGAGGTGAATGGGGTATGATCGGAACTTTTCGTATTGTCTTGCTCCATTCGTCAAAGTTGTCTGCTTTCGCCTTTGCTTTACGTTCTTGCATTGGAACCTTTCCTTCACAAGTTAAAGGTGAATCCGATCCTACGCGGAAATGCCCTGCCTATGCTGATGACGTTTCAGTCCTTGTGTTAAGCAGGACCGAGATTGACAAAGTCAGCAAAGATATCTGTGGTTCTGAGATGGTGACAGGGGCCAAGATCAACCACGATAAGTTTGTTGGTTTGCGGTTGGGTGCGTGGAAGTGAGTTTCTCTTCCCGGACCTTTCCTCTGGATGGATGGGTCGGTCAAGATTCTCAGCGTCTGGTTCAGTCCTGATCTCCAGTTGGAAATGAATTGGTCGGAGGTGCGTGGGAAGGCTGAGATCGCAATTGATTTGTGGTCTCCTTAAAGGTGAGGGTGGAAGTATGTGTTTCACACATTTACCCGATTCTCCTTTACTGACTCTCTGTGCTTCCACTTCCATATGACACTTTACTGATGTTAGTGAAGCTCTTGTTCTCCTTCTTCTGGGGATGCAAGGCTGCCAGAGTCACTCGGGAGATCTGTTGCCTTCATCCATCTGAAGGCGGTCTGGGCATGTCAAGCATTGAGATTTGTCAATATATGCTTCACATCGGTTTTCTAGATCAAATGTGTCACGAACCGGATGAGAAGGGCGCCTTCTGGAAGGAAGACACCCGTAAGAACTTCCCATCCCTGAGAAGTGTGCACTCGTCTGAGGAGGCCCACCATTTACCCTGAGCCGAATGCTCCTTCTATCATGAATGTCGTATTGCTCTGAAGTACCTCTTACGGGCATTGGATGGCCTCTCCAATGTTCAAGCATTGTCTTGTAGGGCATTATATCAAGTGTTAGTCAGTGGGGGCATGCGTGATGAGCTGATTGATGAGCTTGATCTTACGAAGCAGGAGGCTCACTCAATATGGCCTTGGGTACCCGGGTTGAAATGCCTCAATAACGATGAGGCATCACTCACCTAGCTGGTGATTCATGGGGCCCTCTGGGTCGCCAAAAGACTTTGCTCAGATGGCTTGGAAAATTCTCCAAACTGCCGACACTGTAGTGGGGAGGTCGAGACCTTGGGTCACGCCTTCTTTCATTGCAGGCTGGTATTGCTATTGTGCAAGTTTGTTGAAGGCCTCATGGTCCGCATGCTGTAGGTAAAGTTCTTTGTCCTTGAGGCCTTTTCCATTTGTAGCAATGTGGCATTGCCACTGATGAAGGCTGAACGATATGTGTTCCACTGCTTGCTGGGCGTTATGAGAGTTGTGATTTGGACGACATGTCAGAAGGGATTCTATAGAGGCAAGAAGTTCACTTCTTCCCAACTGATCTTGTACTTTAAACATCAGCTTAAAGTCAAGATTAGGATGAAAAGGCAGTGACTCCCTTCATCAGAATTCAGCAAAAGGTGGATGAATCTTGTGCCTTTGTGTCGTGTGGAAGGGGTTAACCTTGAGTGGCACATTGATGCCGGTTAGGCATCAGAATATTGCTCTTCCTGGGTTGAACTTGTGCAACCCATCCTGAAACTAGGCTAGGTTAGGTTTAATTTGATTCTTTAGTTTCCTTTTTCAGTTAACTTAGCTAGGGTATGTATGCTCATTGCCCCCCCTTTATTTCTGCTCCTATTTTTCTTTATGTTTAATTCCTCCATCCCCTCCCTCATTAGGTGGTCAGTGATGTCAGTTCACTTGGTGGATGCGGGGTGCCTTTCATTTCGCATGAGTGTTTTTTTGTATTTGTTGTTGTGTCTGAATGAGTGCATGTCAGTGTTGGTGCTAGGGATGAATAAATATTCTATACTATTATAGTCCCGCATTGATTTCAGCCAGTGAACTGATGTCTCTGCCACATTTAGTGATTGTGTGTGTGTGTGTGTGGGGGGGGGTTACTAATATTGTTTTCTTTAGTTTCTTGTAAATAGTTTTGTAATCATGTTTGTAAATACTCATTGGGGCTAGTTTTTAGAATTGTTGTTTTATTGCCCTTCCCTCCACAGACAATGAATTGTAAATATGGGGACTAGTTAGTATTTTCATAGAGATGGTGAGATATTATGGTAGATGTAGTAAGAAAGGTACGTATGAATGTGCTGTTTTGGTGTAAGGAATATTGTTCATACGATTGGGTCAGTGTTTGCGGCTAGCTAAGTTATAGTTAAGACAGAAGAAGACCATCCTTTCTCCAGTCCCCCTTACGGCCTTGTGCCACATTTCTGTATTGTACAGAATAAATATCACTCTTTGCTATGGTACCTAGACTGTATGAATAAGTGCAATATTAGACTAGCAGTGAGATTTCATCAATTTACAGTTGAGCTAGTTAGATGTAGCCATAACTTCTGTACTGACAGAATTCTTTTCTTGTCTGTAGAACTCTCTTCCTGCCCCATGCTTTCCAGCCAACTTTAATCTGCAAAAGTTTAAATGCAATGTCAATCATTATCTACAGTCCTCCTCTAATTGCTCTTTTCTTTTTCTACTCATTACTAATGTTTCTGTTCCTAATTCCTCTCCACCCTGTAATCCCTTGCTTGCTTGAAGCATTAGAGGAGATTCTAATAGATATCACTCTTATAGATTTTGGATTCTGTATTTTGACTGCTTTCATATTTGATTTCTGAATTTCTTCTCCACTTTATAAATGCTGCACTAACCTAAGCTTCGTTTCTTCAATTTTATTATTTATTTTTTCTTTATAGGACCTTTTAAGCCTGGTCATTATATCCATTCCTGTGCTATGTTAAATGTTACCATCAAACTAACTTACCCATTAATCATTCCTTTGGTAACTAATCCAAGAGCACCAATAACTGCAACGTACAATGTAAGTATAGGTTTTATAGTTCTTTGTTTTAGTATTCAAGGTTTTTTGCCAAGTAAAATATAACAAGAAAAAAAGAAGGGTAAGATAAGAACAATTGAGCAAGGGAGAACAAAAGAAGAAATACAGAAAGAAAACTTGAAAATGAAGAAAAGAAAGAGAATTGGAACTGAGAAGCAGAATAAAATAAAGATACATAATTTGAGAAAAACAAATAAAAAAACATAATAGAAAGTAGAAGGAAAGAAATTCTATTTTTGATGAACTTATTTAAATTGTGTCTTCTTTGCCTTTTCAATTAATTTCTACCAAAATCATGAATTTGATAAATGACCTCCTTCATTTATGACTGACAATGAAATAACTGCCATTGTTTACTGCAATCGCCTCAACCAGTATTTATAACATTGGATTGCACATATATTCTCTCAAACATTCTTATAACCTATCAGTGATAGATGACTAATAAGTAGAAGACACAAAGGGTCTTATTTATGCACTAGATTGGAAAAGAAAACTTGTTGCATGGAAAATAAACTTAATATATTTAATCAAGATAATATTTCCCCTCATAATTGATAACATAATCCCATCTATCTGACAAATTGCTGATCACTTGATGTAAAATTCTTCAGGTTTCAATGCAAAGAAACACTCACTATTAGTTTTAACCATTTCATAATAAATCTGAAAATATTATAGACATATTGAGCAAGACAAAGGAGAGTAAAGAGAATGAGATAGAACTTTCATAGTTAGTACCATAACCTTTTCCTGAGTGACTCAGTCAATATGTGGTCTTACATTATCATTTAAGGTTCATACACCTTTACAATGGACCAATGATGGGCAATTTTTCTGCCAATTTTTATCCACTGCTTCCAGCTAATAACAACACTTCCCCATATTAACTGCTTCATTTCAGTTTAGCACACCATGAAAGGTGACTTTTTTCATATTCCAGTAAACAAAGAATATTTTTTTTTCATATGTAGTCCTGATTTTGTATGTTTTCCTGGATGTGCACTGTGGCATAATGGATATCAGCTCAAAATGAAAATTCAAAGTGTTGAATTTGAATTCCATTTGGGTTCATTACATTATGCAAATTCCCTTGGGAAAGAGATGAATCTATCTCTTCTCTACCAGCTATGGGTTAAATAGCAGGACAGACTGGGTCCTATAACCTTGGTTGGCAACCAGTCTACTGCAAAAAGAAACTGCAGCCTACTGTGGGAAAATCTTCTGCCTGGTCAGTCATGAATTGAAAGAGACATGATCACCCAAGCATGTATCACATATGGCACTTAACTGACTGGGTCCTGGTTTTAGGAGGGATTCTCTTTTTACAGTATGCTATCTATTGTTGTTTTTTTAAATATGATTATAGAGAATCCAATTTTAATTATTGATGCTGATGGTGATGATTATACTCAGGAAATATTTGCTAGCAAGTCTACTCTTCAATGATTAACAGAGATGAACCCTTTAATGAAGCTGAGAAGCAGTTAGATGATGAGAAACCCATTGACCAATTTTAGATACTTTTCTGAGTTCATGAAGGTGTTTTATGATTGATGTATGACTTGCAAGGAACTGTTAATTCTCATTCAGTTTGCTTAGAATTTCCCACAAATACAGTTTGCAGGATCTCAATATTGACAGAATTTGGTCATCCTCAAGACAGAAATTTTCCTATCAAAAGTGATCAAATCATCAGTGATATATCCGGAAACTTAAATCTTCATTCCCATAGACAAAACAAATATTTCTTGCTGTTTCATTTGCTGAAGTTCTCATTTTGAATTCATACAATGTCTCACATGGGCTTGATCATTTTAAAAGGATGAAAATTATAAAAATTTACCCATTCTGATATTAAGCAATTTATTAAGAAAGAAAAATTCTCAGAACATAAAAATTAATATTTATTTTACTGTAAGTATTGAAAAAATAGGATCATGTCAAAAAGGTGACAGGTTTTTTCCAAAGTAATATAATGTGAATATCTTAAAAGTAGACTTTTAAGCTCATTTTGTCAAATTAATTTCTGATCATATTCATAATCATCAAATTATATCAGTAGATCATTAGACTCCTTTCTTCAATGCATGCAGTTTTTTTTCTTTTAACAAGGAATTTATTCTGCTGCATATTATCTGTTCTAAATTTGATTCTTATTTTTACATTGTTGTTTTACAGTGTCCTTTTGGAAGAATGGTATTTAGAATAGGAGCTGGGAGGCAAAAATTCCTGGAAGATGTTCTGATAACAATTGCTCGAGTAAATGGCCAAGCTCTTGGACTGAATGATGTTCCAGATAATATACTTATTGCCACTCTTCTCACACTAATTACAACCAGGTATGTTTTTAGATAAATAGGCATAATCATTAATTTTTTAAAATCCAGTTCAAAATAGTAAATATTTAGATTAACATTAAAAATACTTTGTTTTCAACACTGGAGACATAGTTGAGTTGAATAATTAGGCTTAAGCAGAATTGGAAAATTATTTTTTGAACAAAATTGAATGCAGACAGAATTTTATCAATGGCAGAGATTTTGCTAATTTCTACAATGGGGTGCTGAAAAATTCTCAACCTGACTCACTTCACAAAGTCTGATCAATTTTGGAAGGTCTTCTGGGTCAAGATGAGAACTTTTCATTACTGTATCTTATGTACCTTCACTGTCTTTTTTAAAAGTAGGGCATTAATTTAAATATATTCTGTGAAGTTTTAATTTTCATGTTAATCACAAAAATAGCCCCTAGTCATAAAAAGCAATAAAATATTTTTGCATACTTAAACTAATTTTTATAGTTTTTGTAGTTTCAAAATAAGATTATGCCATAATTGATGACAGCCAGTTTAAATTTATGCAAGTCCCATGGGACAGTTGAATTATGAATGGTCAAATGAGGAAAAAACATTCCTTTATTCATACAAACTCATAAACTCAAAAGTGCTAAGTGTATAATAAGGTAATTTATTTTCTGAACTATCTTCCATACAAGCTGATTAAATAATTTCTGAGCATAATAAAAGAACACAATTTTCTATCAAAAATATCTGTTTAATTAAATTTTGTTATACTTTACTATTCTTGAGTCAAAAAAATTTCAACTGATTTAATTTCTCTAGAGACTTATTTTATAGATCTATAAATATTTTTTGTATCTAAAATATATTTTTTTGAGATTTCGTAAACTTAAATTAGTTTGTGTAATTGAAAAATATTTCCAATTACTTTTTTTACAATAAATTTTCTAAAGCAAATTAATTTATAAATAAATAATGAAGATTTTATCTGACTGCATTAATTGCTTGACAATACACTATGAAATCCATGAGCAGCACACCATTTGTATCCCAGAACACACTTGCCATCAGTTTCTTCACTGACCTATGGATTTTGAATGCTCCCAGTTCATTGAATCATCCATAGCTCTTCAGATTATCATCTGTTTGAGTCGTTCAAATGACATTTATTTGGAAAGTAGTTCCACACATATTAATGCTGTTGTTGCAGAGGTGTAAGAGTGGCTCCATTTGTTTGCACTTTACTTTTCACACAAACTTCATATTGTCACAATGTTTTATAGACAACTTTTCAAACATAAATATCTCCAATTCTATAAAAAGTAGACACAATATTTATATTAATATTTTCTCCAATCTTTCTTCTTCTTAATAAAGTTTTATATAAGTTTTAGGTGTTTTCCCATAGCATAATATAATTTTACTAAAATTTAGTAAAATCTGTGTGAATAATGTAAGGTAAAGCTTAATTATAAATCATAAACTGAAGATAAATGCTAAAGATGTTTTTCCTTTTTGGAGGTCATTATCTAAAAAAGATTTTGTTTTTCTTAATAGGCACCAACGCTTTGACCGTCTACTTGATATAATCACAGGATTTCATATAATTGATGAATCTATGCATCTTCTTGTAGTAGAAGGCCTACAGAACCAAGGCATCAAAACTCTGATTGATCGATTTGGAGATACTGACCTCCCTGGTAAGAAAGCATTCCTCACTTGTAGACTATGCCCTCAAAATTATTACTTTATTTAAATTTAGTAATTAATTAAATGAAATTATTATAAGTAAGAAAATAAAACCCTTGATTTCAAGGAAGTCAAGAAGTTTACTTTTTCTTGCTTACTTACATAATAATTACTACATCGCAATTTGTTGTCCGTTTCTAACAATCAATTCTTCTTCTAGGAAATGAAGAAACAATTTTATTCATGATTTTTAAAATAAGAATACTTTGAAATATAATAAAGTAGTTACTGATTTTTAGCTATAAAACTATAAAAGACAAAGCCTGAATCAATAATTACATTGCAAAAAATGTTTTCCTAGTGATTTCTTTTCATAAATGGCATACATTTATTAACTTACTAATTATTTAAAAAATAAAATCAATACCTTTACTCATCATTTCAACTTGAATTTACCTTCAAATACATCAGTCTCTTCCAAATTCAAAACAAAGTTACTTATTGCTATCAATTCCAAGTTGTTAATGTTCAATCTCAACTGAACATTGGTCCTCTATTTTATAAAATTTACACTTTTTGAAATTTTATATATGAAAGGATTATTACTACATTACTTAATGTAGTAATAGCCTCAAAATGAGTGAAGATTCTGTATTGAAAAGTATTTTATTTACAAGAAATTCTAAAGCCTTATGAATCACTTTGAAATTGAGCCTCTTATTGATTTATACAATGCCTTTTTACCTTAACTGAGTTTTCTGTTTTTTTTCTTCTTTCTCATTACAGAAGTGAAAATACTGTTCAACACTGATCTCATTTGTTCTGATCGACTTTATGCTTCCTTTGATGTCATCTTAAGGAAAGTGAAACTACATGAATCGCTAGACTCTATTGTACAACAGCCACTAATCTACATTAGAGACATGGTACCTCGCCCTTGTTATGATGCCTTGATTCAAATTCATGAGGTTTGTAAGTCACTATTTTGTTGAAATTGGATCAAAAACCTACACGATTGTCTAATCACTTTAAAACTTTCCATATTATATCTTAGAGACATAATGACAATCTGAGCAGTTCTTTTAATTGCTGTTGATGAAATTTAAGTGTTCATTGTCATTTTGTCTGTCATTGTTAATTTTCAATATTTATTAAATATTTGTTTATGTAGATTAAATTTCATTTAGATTTGTTGTACAAATCATTCCCATGCAAATTAAGAGACCACTCATAAAAATGTTTGAATTACCAAATCTAAAAGTTAAAAACAATAGGAGAGGAAAGAAGGAAATTTGAAGAGAGGGATGGACCAAAAGAGAGTTTTTCAATTAATATACTTACTAAAAGTTGTTTTCTTTTTCTATGTAGCTTAGCAAATGCTCCAGGTTAATTGATGCCATCCGCAACCAATTTTTCCCCAATGCCAACATGGTACGCTCCCTGAGCAAAGAGTTTGGTATTGTCATCAAAGAAGAGCACTTCAAAACTGGTGGTAAGTCCTTTGATTTAAATTAACTATTAATTAATACCAATTATTATTACTTCATTAACATCCTTTAGACATTCCCTTCAAACTTTTGGAGATACTTTTTAAAAACAGAAAATAAGGATAAATGTCAAATTGTGAAAATGAAATGATAATGAGCTTTCATTTAATTATCAGCAGCCAATATTTGGATCTTGTTAACGCTTGAAGAATAATGCAAATTTTTAATATCATCCTAAAATTTGTACAACAGAATATTCCAAACATTTGGGAATGTACAAGTGTTAAATTTGCAACTCCTATGTGGTTTAGTGTGAGAACAATTCATTGCCAAAGTTAATAAAACAATTTATCACATTCAAAAATGAAGAAAGTAGTCCAGTCTTCACTCTTTGCCTCATTTGCGGACTTGTGCCAAACTAAGATAAGCTTAGTAAACAACAACAGCAACAACCAAGGTAGAAGTGCAAAGATTTGTATGGGAAAGAGGTTTTTTAGGCAGAAGAAACTATCAAAAAAGGAAAATGCAAAAATATAAGCCTGAACCAGCATGTAAAAAATATTATTCCAAACTGCAATATTCCAACAGTTAATCTGTTAAACTAACTTTAATCTTTTTTTTAATTTGAATATATCTTAGAAAAAAAGAATAAAATCAAAAATGAGTTTAATTTTCAGTAACTGAAAATTAAACTCATTTTTGATTTTATTCTTTTTTTCTGTCATGATGATGAATTGTTCTGTTGATGAACTGACCAGCAACCAGTTGATAGTTTTAGTTCCACAATGTAAATCTATGATCATAAATGTTTAAGACATTATTTTTAAGAGATTAATCAATATTTCATGATTCATTACAGGACTCGTTTGTTAATTAACTTGCTTGAACATGAGCCTAAAATATACCAAAACTTTCATTTTTACACATCATTTAAATGTATATTTGTAAATATCATAGTTATCAATGGTAATTGTAATATTAACCTTTTTCTTATAAGGAAACATTCAGCATACAAGCAGCCTGTGTTGCTTTCAGTTGAAATTTATAAAATTTTTCAGTTAAAACAATGTCTTCAGGAAAATAGGTTTCTCAGTTCACTCTTATTGATTTTTCCAGTATTAATGAGGGCTTCCTTCTTAAAATTTTGTTTGAAGTATTGTGGAACATTAACATGTTGCTTATGTCATTAGTTTTTCTTTGAGCTATGTATGCTATCCATTTTAGCTGTGGCTGTTGTTAAAAGTCATCAAGTGATATAATTTCTGTTATTTGGTACAGTTGTTTGTGATTGTGTAGCACCTGTCCACAAGGTTCAAAAAAGGATGATCCTTGCTAAGACCTACATGCTTCATTTGCTAGAAGCCATTTTAAATCATTGATTTAAGGAAGCAGCTGAGAGTTTAGATATTTCTGAAAGAGTTTGGTGCCATGTGTGGCATTTGTAAGGAAGTCTCTATCTGATGAGGCTATTTAAAAACATGACATGAGATTTTAGATTAATGTTTTGTCTATTCTATGTTCATTTTTCTTATCTCCTATACTAAATTTGTTATAACTTATAAGGTATTTGAAGTGTTATTTGAAGTGTTACACATCCCAAATTTTTATGGGATTCAGGGTTGGTGCACCACTGCTTTCATTCCAATTCCAGATCATAATTTCTGTTTTGAAAAGGTTTATCTTGAGTCCTATTTCTTCAAACACTTGGTAAAAGATGCTGATATTTTGTTCAAAATCATTCTTATCCCAACTATGAATACCTATGTCATCAGCATGGCCTCCCTCAATTGGCCTTGGGAGGGAATGCTAGAATGTTGTTTTCTATTAGCAGATTCATTTGAGATGTGATATGGAATGCTTAAATGATCAGTACTCATCTCTTCACACCTGTGCTTGTATATGTGTAGGGCATAGTATAGGAAAAGATTAAATAAACTGAGGCTCTCATTACCACCCTGTTGTATCCCTGGTGAAGTTTTAAATTTTTTGGTACTGGGCTCCTGCCAGATATAGCCGACTTTATGGCCCGATATAGTTTCTCTATTTGATCTAGACATTCAGTTGAGTCAAAGCTTCGAAGTAAAGTCAAAGGAAGTTTTTTGCAAATTCATCCTAACTTCCAATTTTCCATTGTGTTATGAAACCTGCTTGAATTTTTTCAATAGCTTCGATTCTTCTATCATATATGACTATAGGATCATATCATATGCCTTTTTCTCATCTATCCATGGTGCTACTAAGTTCTATTTTCAGTATATTTTGATAAATGAATAGTAGATCCCTTGTCCCTCTCCTGTTCCTTTTTGGCATCCATTCTGTTCCTCAAAAGTGAGTCCCTAGCTCTCTAAGTGCTAATAGATTACTTCAGCAATTTTTTCAGTTACAATTGTTGCTATTTAATGCTTTTTTCCAATTTTTTTTTTTAGCTTCTGCTACATATCAGGAAGACAACAAACCTCAAGTATCACTTCTGGATACTCTGGCTACAGCAATTACTGATCAGTATGACAACAAATCAAAATGCATCGATCATTACAATAAACCATATGTCCGGTTACTCAAAAGGAATCTGCACAGTGCACCGGCTGATTTAATTGCTCGTAATATCGTAAGTCATTCCTTCAGGTTTTATGAAACTTTATTAAGTAGAGATGCTTTAAAGAATTTCCTTGTAACAATAGTTTTTTTTTATTGAACTGCTGAAGAAAACATCTATTTTTAATGTCTATATAGTTTTAACATAACTGCATGAATTATCCTATCAATTTGGTAGATGATATTTTTTGTTTGTTGTTCAGAGTTTAGTGAACAGTGCAAGTAATAAATTGAAAGCAATGAAGGAGCCAGAGAATACAGTCAGTTTGCCTTTTCCATTGAAAGAAGTTCACAACTATGGAATGAGTACATATAATACAGTCGAACTGAAGAAACTTGAACTCAGGCGGGAAATGGTGAGCATTTTCAATTAATCATGTAGCTTTTCTCATATAGGTGAGAAAAGGGGTTATATGGAAGGGTAGATTATTTGGAACATTACTGTTTAAGTGGAAACAGAACTGATTAGGATTTTTTTTTTTTTGACATCTGGTGAGCGACTTCGTTATAATCTATAATATTAGTATCACAAGTCGCAACAAAAGTGTATCTTCCAAGAAAGGTTTGTGTATTATTCTCATCTTAAAAAAATTTTCCTTTTTGTTGGAAATATTAATTAGTAGAAAGTAATTGAAATGGAACTCTAAATGATTTGTCTTTTCTGTTTAAGCTTGGATGTGCTACTTGTGTTGATTATATTAATACATAGAATTAATTGGAACTTTTCAAGAGGGGCCAGATAGAGCTTTTTAACTAAGCCTTTATATTACTATTACAAAACATTTAGTAGCACTTATACTCTCAACTCTTTTAATTATCAACAAATTTTAATAATTTTCTAAAATGTTTTGTGACACATGTAAATTGCATTTCAGAAAGATGTTAATTCTAGACACTCATGAGAGACACATTGATTATGCCAGAAAAATGGTCTTCTGGTATTGCTGTCATTGCCTCCTCATTTTTCATACAAGATGTGGCTGTTTTCAGGGCCTTTCAAGAGTTATAGTAACTTGGTTTTTGACACATGGATGATAGAAAACAAGGGGAAAATAATGATAGTTTATGAAATTCCTTGATTAGTAGGCAAAGCTTTTCTTCAATCTGAGTACTATCTCCATGAATCCTACCAACATTCAGTCAGGTTTTTGGGTAACTGACAGGATTATCTTCACTGAGTATGAGTTCCTCCTTTCTGATATGACAGATTGTCATAAACACTGATATTGATGAGTTTTCTGCTGCAATGGAAGACATAACTACTAGTTTCCCAGGAGTTGCTACATTGACTCCAAGTACTGTGAACTCCTAAAACAGCAAAGCAATTGGTTGAAGATCCTACACAGAATATTAATGGTGGAACTGTTAGTGAAGATTATGTTATTTCTTTGAATATCATATCTTATGTAGATAATTATTCTGCTGGTGATCAAGCCATAAACAGACTGGAATATGGATGCAGAAGTGGGGGACTATTGTGAAGTTTGCAAGGAAGAAAAAGATCCAGTATTATGTTGCTCTGATTATTGATGTTAACCGGTATGATGAGTTAACAATAAAAATGTTAAAAATCGTTTGTAATAATGATTTTACATGTCCTAATGTTACAATAGCAGATGATGCTGACTTATGCACATATGAACACAAGGAAATCTTCTTGACCAATACAAAAATGGTGGGACAAAAAGTTGTCAACAGAAACTTGATTTTCATGTGAACATCTCAGCTTATATCAGAATAAAGACAAGGAATTGTAGTGGGAAACATTTATATGAGACTTACTAAAGTAAAATGTCTGCCTAGATGAAGATACTTGAGACCATAATTCATTAAGATAAAAAAAAATTAATGGTGTCAATATCATTCTTGATTTTAATTAATAATTATTTTGCATCAATTACTGGTGTGTTTCAACATACTCCATCAGGGGTTTCTGATGGGATATTTTAGAACATCTAATTTAATTTTTCCAGTGATCTGTTAAACCCTTTGAAGAAAACTTGGCTTGATTTTCAGCACACAGATGCATCTTTGACAACTTTATATGTCAGATTATTAAATATAACCATTCTGTAAAAATAGATATTTTTATGAAATTTCTTTTATTTGGTAAACATAAAATGCAATGCAATGCAAATTTTCTTTTAGCTTTGCGACCTTATTCATGATGCAGCCTGATGTTCAGAAAATGTTGTTTATACTTAGTTTAAAATTTATTTATTTTTAAACATTTATAAAACTTTCTTTTGGTAGGATCCGAAATCACTGTACACATATTGTCCTGACTTCCATCACTCTATGACATTCGCACCAATGGAGTTAGAACAACTATATAAGCAAGAGGAGATCTGTAAAAAGGATAAATGGACAACCCCTAATGGATGGGTGTATCCAGGTTTTAAATCTGCCGTTGACAACTATGTCCACCCAAAAAAGCCCAGTTCAGCCAGACTCAAGGAATTATCTCAGGTAAACTGGAATTTGGAAATCCTTATTCAAAATCCAGTGGCTTCAATAGCTAGTCTGTTTGTCTAGCTCTCTCCCCTTATCTATCGATCTATTTATCTATCTATCTATTTATCTCTCTCTCTCTCCATATATATATATATATATATATATATATATATATTGTTATGAAATTGTAGCATGTAGATGAACCACGGGTTTTAAAAAAAAGGAAAACGTGGGATCTTTTCTCAGTCTTCACTCAGAAATGGAAGCGACACAAGGGAATCAACAAAGAACAGACACAAGACGATGGATTTCAAAATAAAACATTTATTTATAAATATATAAGCAGATAAAGAAAGAAAAACAAAGAACATTCATTTAACAAAGGGGAAGGAGATCATTAAAGAATAGAAGGCGCAAGCGAATACATACATATATGAAAACAGATCAAACCAAGAGAATCAACTTATCTTTCAGTCGAGTTGATATTTTCACACAAAGTTTTGATTCGCCGAAGCGAGAGTTCTGATGCTAAAACAATATCTGGGCCGGCCGGCAATTTTCCTGGATTTCTTTTCTTTTCACAAGTGTTCGATGGTCCACAGCATCTCGTACAGGCATTTCGTTGGGTTGATCAGTTTCATAGCAGTCCTTTCACCCCTAGTCGACAGACTTTGCTGACTTCTTCATCTCGGTGGACAGTTTGACGATTTTGCCCAACGACGTTCAACTGCCGCTGGTCAGAGGGAAACTGAAAATCCTTTTTTAGATTTTCGCTGTCCCCAAAGACAGTCACGTGGGTTTCCTTTGTCCTTGACCAGGTACGCAGGAGGATAGGGCGCAAATCACGCAGTGTTTGTGTGATGGCCAAAAGTTCAATACACCCTTAGTATGTTCTGATCATGTGAATCACAGCAGGAGACCCTGATGGTGCCTGGAATTCACTCATGGTCAAACGCCTGATAGCTGCGAAATTTTGGAACCAGGTCATTCTCATGTCTGGTCACTTCAAAGTTCATGGGCCCTTGGCTAGTGGGTGGAAGAGTAGATAAAAAGGGAAAGAATTTGTGAAGAGAAAAGGAGGATATGGCTGATCATGGAACATATTCGCTCGCAAGTCGAAAGCATTGGATTAGATTTCTATTTATTTATTTATTTTTCTTTTATATCTAACTAATTTTCTCTTTATTTAAGATTTTACTTTGGGGTGCTTTTTAGCCTAAGGTCTATGTGGTTAATGAAATCGGGGCTGCGTCACAATATATATATATATGGTAGCTGTTTACTTGATTACAAGTTTAAAAATGTCTGCCCCCCAAACTAAGCATCTGTTACCACCTGCCAACTCATGGGTTCTGTAATAACTTTTAAAAAAAGAAAGACTTTTAAAGTCTCTATTGCACTGCTGGCAAATTTATTTTGGCCATTTATATAACTTGCATTTTCATGTAGCTTCTTATGTCAAGAGAGACAAGATTTTTTTCGTACATTCTGTTGTTGCTTGAATTTAACAGATCATGTTTAAATGAATTCTTGCTGCTTAAATATACTTTATATGCATACATATATATATATATATATATATATATATATATATATATATATATACTATATTTGTTGGAGAGATTGTGCTCAATATAGAAGATAGAGTAGTTGTAAATATAGATAGTATGAACATAGAACACGACTCTACATAGTAACTGTCAGTTTCATACCTCAAGATATCATAACAATACACAAACACATCTATATATATATATACGTATATATATATATATATGTATATATATATATATATATATATTTATATATATATACGATTATTAGGAGGATGAGAGATAATCATAAGTAAATAATTCAACAAGTTTAAAAGAAACCTCAACAGAATGCAGAAAGCACTGGACGGCCGTTTCATCCTATATTTAGGACTCATCGGCAGTGCACATCCACTACTGAGAATTGAAACCCAGACAGTTATGATATCAGGCAAACGTTATACCAACTCTACCAACGGATCTTGGTGACAAAGAGGTAACGAATTAGACTTGATTTAGGGCCGCTCCATCATGTATTCCATGGTGGAATTCATCCGAGTTTCCCTTACCCATAGGACTGTGCCCCCAGGAGACACAATCAAGCCATTCCATCCAGGGCATTAAAAGCTGGTTCAAGCAAGGATATACAAGTGATAGAAATTATTAGGAGAATTTGAGATAATCATAATTAAGTTGGTATGAAAAGTATATTTATTCATTCGTTGGAAATACAATGAATTAAAAATTTGTATGTGTACAAATATTTGTTTCCCCCACTGTGTATGTGTATATATATATATATATATATATATATATATATATTTATATATATATATATATATGTATATAAATAAAAAGAAAGAACAGTATGTATATAAATAAATAAAATTCGCTTGAAGATGAAATGGAACTAATGCTTTTAATTTAATTGCAAAATTAAATTCGGGGCTTTTAGCTTCTATTTTTGAAACATGGTTAGAACTGTGTAGCGGAAAAAAACATATTTTAAATCAATTAATTTATAATATATATATATATATATATATATGAGAAAATATAATTTTAAGGTCTGCTATATTTATGGGATAAAGTTGTCAATGTAAGGGTTAAGAAAACCCAGCAAAATCGTTTATCTAATATTTTAGAACTTTGTCCCAGAAAGTAAGTGTTTTATCAGTAAATATAATAGAATTTGAATTGTAAATTAAAAGTTCTATTTATTCTTTAAGCCATACGAAGAAACTCTGAGGCTAGAGAGAAGAGACCCAAGGGAACGTTGTGCATTTACTTGGTCTGAACGAAATCTGGATATGAACTTATGGAGTTGCCCGACCACTGATCCTGGTGAAAAAGTCTACGTTCTTCACAATCCAGGGGACCAAGAGGCCATCATTAAAGAAAATCATGAAAAAGAGGCTGAAAACTGGAAAAGCAAAGTGGTAGTGAAAAATATAAGAACGCGTTTTCATCGTCAACTGACAGAAACTGAACTACAAATGCAAGGACAACGTGCATCATGTCAGCTAGATAGGATGAAAGGCTTACTTAAGGATAAACCGATACGAAGGACATTCAAGTATTGCCCAGTAGCTGACATGACATCACTAGGTGTGATCAACTACCCTGAATTGAGCGTGAATTCGGCTAACCGAAAATTGCTCAGATCATATGATGGTGACAATCAGAAAAGCGCTTATGTACCAGGTCCATATTGGCCGGAAAGGAGTTTAGCACTTATTGGTAACCATACGCTGACTCAAGATTATGAACACAAAAAATTTGCTACCTTAAAGGGAAAAGATTTCAAGTAAGTAAAAATAAGACTCAGAGTTATACGATGATCATTTTCATCTTTGTTATTATTGTTGTTACCATGATATTCTTATTACTTGAATAACATTCATGAATTTTTTAACAGAATCATTTATTTTACTTCAAAGAGTACACTGTTTTCATCCTTTGATGGTTATGCCACCTGTAATTGATGTTTGAGTCTAGACAAAAACGTGATTATGAATTTCATGGCAAGCCTACAATCTTGATTTCTGGGAGATTGGTATTCCATAATGCAAAAATGTTAATTCCTAGGAGAATTCATGATATTTTATTTCAGGATGATTTCTGTGACTTTATGGCTGATTAGATTTTGTCCTTTAAAATAATGAAAAAGCCAAATTTGTCACAAATAGATAAAATATCGGATGTTCAGTGGAGGGGGAAATGAAAGCTATATTTGAGTTTCTGTAATTGATAGTCTTGACCTACTGTTAAGGCTAGCTTTCCATGGAGAAAGAATAACAATTGAATTTCTTTGGATATTTATTCTTTATTTCTCGTCAGCGTTGCTACTTAATAACCTTGGATTGCCAGCATAAGAGTTAAAATATAAATAGAAGAATTACTCATCAAAAATTAATTAATTGCAGAATTTCTACAAAATTTGTATACTTGTTTGGTGCTGTTGCAATATTTTACTATTTTAACATTGCAAATTGACAAGTGCATAATTCATCATATAAGACATTTATTTATATAAATATTTACATATTTATTTATATAAATACTTAACACCCGATTTATTGATGTGAAGCTCCATTTTTATGTAAATACCTTTTCAATTTTTTTTATGTATTTTACAAAAAAAGTAAATTAGGTCATTTTCATATTTTTTCATAAGAAATAAAAAATGTTTTTATTTTTCTTATTTTCTTGTTAATTTCAGGAGTCTTCACAAACGACATGACTCAATTTACAAACGCAAACACCCAGTGTTGCCTGTTAGGGAAGAAGAGAAGCACACTCATTATGGGAATCTGAAAAATTGTTTCTGTCGATCACATACCGTTCCAGAAATCTGGCAACAACAGATTTTTCATTGTTCAGCGCCTCCACACACGGCTGATCCCAAGTAATTACAAAAACACAGGCAGTAGAAATATAACTTGGAGTAAACCAGGATCCCCCATACAAATGGATCACTGATCTGTAATAATAAATAAAGTATAAATTAATAAACTATAGCATATCATTACCTTAATTGGTTAAAAGTAGGTATTTATTGGATTAAATTAATTTTAAATGTTATGATTATACAGTCATTAAACTCATTATCATTTGATTATGTGACATTACCTAAAGCAACAGTACACTATTTCAAGAGATATTTTTGAGATCAACTGCCAATTTGACCTTATAGGACCAATCAGACTTACTATTAAGAGAGGAATAAATAGTTTTGTCATCAGCATAAATACTAAGTTGAGAACTGATACCATCAGGAAAGTCATTTATGAAAATTAGAAACAACATATGTCCAGGGATAGAACCTGGGGGAACAACTGCATTTATGCAAAAAGATCTAGAAGAGTGCCCATTTAAGATAACTTTCATTTCACAATTTGATAAAAAAGACTGAATCAGTTCAAAAATGTGAAAGATTCTGCAAAGTGAGATGTTTAATCAATCCAGTGTTTATTGTAGTCTCTAGAACTTTGCCAAAGAGTGGTAACAGACTAAAAGGCCAATAATTAGAAGGATCTAACAGTTTGCATCAGTTCTTAATGATGTAAACAATAGAAGAGGATTTTCAACAGGCAGGAAAGCAAAAAGATACTTATTTTACAGTTTAGAGAGAACAAGAGCACTAAGGATTATCACAGAGATACCATCAGGCCCACATACTTCGAGTTGATCTAGTTTAAAGACTATAGCAAAAACCATGTATGGAGTTATATGCATATCACTCAATAGGGACTCTAAGTTCTAAGTGGAAAGTTAGGCAAAGATAGTCAAGATGAATCAAGAGTAGAATTTGAGGAGAATTTATGTGCAAAACATTCTGGTTTATCAATAGAAGTTAACATTAAATGAAGTGAGGAGGGATAGAAGACTTAATCTTATTTAAGACACTATTACAGAGCCGCCAGTAGTCATGAGAGCCAAACTTGTTAGAAGCTGTGTCTCATTCTATCCGCAAACAAAGACTTAGGAAATGTTTACAATTGTTATAAGGTGTCTACTTATAACAATTGTAATCAGAACTATCATGCTGGTAGACATGATTCATTCTGGCAGAACAGGCTGGTGTGAACCAAAGAGAAGATTGTGGTTTCATCTAGTATTTCAGAGAATGAAAAAAAGCATGAATGACCCAAGAAGAAACATCTGTGAGACAATTCTCAATAGGGGCATCTTGAAGAAAGTCACAAAATGAATTCCAATCACTATATGTTAGTAACAGAAAAAAAATGTGTGAATAGGAGGTTCCTTTCTAATACATGACACAAAAGAAATATCAACAGAAACTACCAAGAGGATACAGTTGTGATACCCAACAAGAGCTAGGGGAGGAGGTAAGGAACACATCAAGTAAAGAAGCATCTTGATCAGATTTATTAGGAAAACAATGAGTTAAATTCACTATTTGAGACCTGTCATATTGAATAAACTGTCTCTATTCTTCAGAATAGTTGTTTTCAAACTTCAGTTCATCTTAAGAGTTTATCTGGCAACTTTAATGAAACTTGTCTTGCTTTCCTAATCTTTGATTGGTTTGTTACATGATGAAGTTTGAAATTTTTACTAATATATTTGGCTTCTTAATCTAAGCAGAGCATTGTTTATTTGTTACTTTCACATTTCCCTTTTGTTCTGAAATATATGATGATTACAAAAGATCAGATATATAATTCTTGGTTAGACCAAGATCTTTTCAGCACCCCACGTATTCATTCATTTAAATTTTATCATTTAATGCATAAAACTGTTTGGTTCTTTGATTTGCCAAAATGAGTAAATTCTATGTCTTTGCCATAGTAGACAAAATTTTGAAAAACACCATTGTTTTTTCTATGATTTAGGGTCTTGGCCAGTTTTCTCTTTGCAGAAAAGTAGACCAGATAAGATCAATATTTAACTTTTAATACCTACCACACTCAATTATGTCACTAGTTTCACTTCATAAACTTATTTCCTCTCTTCAAACTATCAAGTTCAAATAAGATATTCACCAACTGATTACAAACTCTAGGCCTTCATTACATACCGATTCTTCAAAGTCCCTGATAAGCAACAACAATTTTGATCGGCTCATGCTTAACTCAGGATTTAAGTTCAACAAAACCCCCATATGAGATACACATTGAGGATCATACTCACTACACAGTATTAATGGTCAACCAGACTAGATTGTTATACACTATAATTAATTATGTTAATATTTCCGAGTTGTGGTAATAATATTAATATCACAAATATTATGTTCAATTGTCTGAGTGTTAATGAATCTTCTCAAGATTATAGATAATAACATTAGTTTTATCACAATATAAAGCCTTTCGTAATTATGCCAATGCAATGCATAGAAAGGATAATCATAAGATTACGATTAATGGCTTTTAACACAAAATGAACACATACATAAATTATGTCATTTAACATTACATTATATTTGATAGTTTCGCATGTACTTATTTAATAAGCAAAGGCACCTAATAAGGATCAAGTTCACTGTTAATAATTTCTAAGACCAGTTTGTTGACCATTACACAATGACAAGGTGCCACATATAGTTGAATTCAACCTATTTTAGTCTCTTCACAGAGACCATGTTTTACCATGTTTTTGTCAGCAATCAGTTTTTCCAATAAAGTTTCATTTCACTTGTTTCATTTCTTTTAATGTAAGCAAGTGAATTATAGAGATAATATTTTTTAAAGAATCGTCCTCATTTTCACACACATCAAAGACAATGTCAAAATGTCAGGCATCTGGATTAGTGTCTTACGAATTCTCAAAGGAGAACTGATGCTAATGATCTAAATATGTCGTTTCTGTCAGTAAACAATACTTAAATAAAGAAATGCATTGATGACTGTCTAATGCTTTCTTACTGGTGCAGAGAATACCATCACTCATATATCCATCAATATTTCAAATATAAAAAAAATGATAAATTGTTATAACTTTCCAGCAATCAAATAGCAAGCGAATATTCAACTACATTTTGATCACAGATATTCAACTCAAAGGAGTTACATCTTGATCTAATTGGGATTTGTGTAGGATGTAATAGATTTACAAGTTAACTGAGTATAACAAAGTTTCCAGGATTGTGCAGTAACTATAAAAAAGAGAACATGCAGAGATTATTTAGAAGTTGAGTCAGCTATCAACTTACACTTTGTTGCACGGTATGGAACACAAGGTGCTAGCAATGTAATCATCAACATTCAACACTTACTCATAGTGTCACCATCAGTTCATGTGCATACCAGTTCAGTTCCTGATGATGAGAGAATGTTTATATTCCAGACACACATTTCTTGATCAGTTGGGTTTTAGTTAACTTTTTTTTATCGTAGCTTTATTTTTAGGCAACTTACAATGTTTGTACTATTCTCAAAGGAGACTCATTTATCTTGTTACAAAATGTAAAAATAAAAGCTGAAGTTGATTCAAAGTTTAGGCAATTATTCCAGGATGAACATCACCACTCAGTAGTTGCAATGTAGAAGCCGAGGTGTGGGTGGCAAGCACTTGTCAGACTTTTAGGTGAAACATCACGTCATCTTCCATTCATGTGATGGTCAACAAAATTATATTCTGCTTTACAAATGTAATTAGTTCCAGAAGCGTGATGTTTATCCAAGTTGATGTTTTATTGAGCGATTATCGTTGAATTTACTGAAAAGTGTACATAATCAGTGAAGAAAATGAAAGTTTTACGAATATTTAAATGAGTCGATTGTTAGATGTATGTATTTCACTCAACCTGCTACAAAATTAGAAAAAGCTATCAATTTCTAGCAAACTGCATAGTGTTAAGTGTTTGGGTGTTTTAACGCGATGAGACTTCGTAAAAAATAGATATTGTGAAAAAAAAATATAGCGATATGATAGGCGTAATATGTAGAGGGCCGTGGCTGTTATGTTGTTGATAGAAGTCAGACGTAGAAGAAACGCAAGTAAGGTTCAGATACTCCTGCCCACCAGACCCAACTACATAAAAAAGTTGGACTTTGATTAAGTCCAAAGAAGAAGGCAAAGAAAGCAAACAAAACACAAGACCAATAATATATGTATATACAAATATATATTGATAACAAGTTACAATATATGGAAACAGTATAAAGGACGAAGTGTGTGTGAATATTCTGTATGCGCGTGCGTGTGTGAATATTCTGTATGTGCGTGCGTGTGTGTGTGTGTATTGTGCTTAGCGTGTTTCCACGCTATCCCTTGTTAGCGCCTACATTTCGAGGTTGATAGCTGAAATCCTGAAGGAAAAAGAGATAGTGGTGAAGGGTCAGCGGCTATTTATAGCCAGGGAAGAGAGACCCCTGGTGAAAGGGTTAACGGACTGAAGGAGGAGTTAACTCCGACAAATAAAATTAAACAGTAGGTGCCGATTCTTATAGAGAAGAAATTTAATAAAGTATAAAATATCCAAGATATCTGTCATTATTTAAAATAAGTTTATACAAATGAGTGATAACATTCCTAACAAATTACAGTTGGGAACGAGTTGAAGAAAAAAAAAATAAGAGAATGAGTTGCATCCAAAAACAGATATCGTTCTTATATCTCACCGGCAACAATAAGAGATGACACACAATTGGTTTATTGGGAAACAGATCCAAAACAACATGATACTCCCTCCGCTCTATTCCATCTACGAATCGATTTTTTTTATTTTTGTCTAAATAAAATTTCGACATCTATTGCTTTATTATTTCTGAAATAACAGGAAGAAATTTACAGTTTTCTTAAAGATGATTTCCACATGAAAGAATTATTTTGCTGGCACGGTGACACAAAATAAAAAGTCGGAAGCTAAATCAAATAAAAGTGTAGGGAGCGAGTTAGACATTAAGTTTTAATGATTCCTGATTCTATAATATTATTTTGCTGT